GTAAATTCATCAAGGAGAAATAATCTGGCACAATATAATGATGTAAAATATTCGAAATATTTCTTTTATTTCTGTACTTGTGTCAATTATTGTATATAAAATTTATGATGTAAAAAGATTGTTTTTCGAAAGACAAACCTACAGAAACAAAAACTTTACAAAAAAAAAGTAATATCACTTTTTCTTCTTTTATTTGCAGTTGATGGAATATTCTAGTTAATGGAAGTTACAGTAAACACGAAATATAAATCTATCAATAAGAAATATTAATAATATAATGACATGAAATATTCGAAAGTTTTAAAATAAATGCTAATTGGAAGAACACATAATACTTTATGTACTTTTACAAAATGTAAAGTAGCAATATGTTGTAGTTATGAAAATAAAAATAAAAAATATAATTATAACATGAAAATTTATATTATATTTATAAACATGAAATAAAGTAATGCAAAATGAGAAGTATTAATATATCAAGGATCATATTATAAATTATAGATGCAATTATAAAATTTTATTATCTACGATAAATATTGACTATTATTACCCTTCATTGGTATTATTCGACATTCGGAAATAACATAAATTTAAGTTTTACTAAATTGTGTCAGACTTTATTTATTTATTGAATAAGAATGCACGATAATGGATTACATAATGGATTGGAAATATATAGGTACGTTCTAAACGATGCCTCCAGATCAACTGCTCGCAAAGCTGGAGTTTATTTGTTTAGTTGACGACAAAAAACAATCACACACTCATACATTTTACAACATTATTCCAACAAATTGTTTAATTTTGGAATTTTACTACTAATTTCTACCAGACGGAATATAAAATACAAAATAAAATTAAATAATTGAAATTCTTGTAATGTGATACAAATTATTACTATTTATCTTATTAAGATTTTTGATTATTGTTTGTCATTATTATGTTGTTTGTAAAACATATTTCCATTTTCTTCTTTTTCACGTTTGTTTTCATACTCACGAAGAGAAGAATGCTAATTACAAAATCCGGCAAAATTTAATGAAAATAAAGTTATAAATATAATATTTATATAATAGTTACGATAAACATCAATGACTGAAATATATTGACAATTTTTCAAATAAATTCTAATTGGTGGTTAAAGAATTAAAATATTTTAAATGTATCACGATTATAAATGACGGAACATTGCTCACGAGAATTATTATCAATAAAAAAAATTTCATCGCTCATAATAGAGTTAAGTGTAAAGTATTGTCTTGCAAACAATCCTCCGCGACATTTAAATCATTTTGAAAATCGTAGAGTTACTTTCTAATGCAAACTTCGCGGAATTTCATAAAGAAAAGAAAACCAAGTAAATTTCCTTCGTCAACGAAAAGAATTATTGATAGCAAAAAAAATTTTCCAGCGCTTACGATTATTATTTGTAGTAAAAATAATTTAGTCGAAAAAATAATTGTTATCTTATGACTTTTCCATTTTGGTGATGATGTAATAGGGCCTCTGTTTATAACATTTATAAATTTAATGCTATAAATTTTTATGTGAATTCATATTTTTATAGGCACATATTTTCCGTTTTTCCTATAAAAATTATAACAAGCACTGTAACACGGATATTTCATACAGGTTTCTACACTCATGTAAAATTCCGTACAAATGCTGATTTAAGATACGAATATCTGTATATAAATATCTGCAAATAGTCTGATTCACTTATGCTAAATCGAGTAACGAGTCAATGGCGGTGACGTTCCGTTTCGCATTTTCTCGACCGTGACATTAACTTTCTCACGGGGCAAAATCGCACAAAAGCGCAAAGCGTGAATGGTGTTTTCTGGCACGCGTTGAATTACCGTTTGCCGGAGCGCGTGCGGCCGCCGCGCATTTGCATTCCAGCGTGTTTGCCGCATTTAATTGCACCGATCCGCGGTAGACCGATTGACTGCCGATCGAAAGATACCGGTGATCCATTCTGTGTCCAAGCGCCTCGTCATTCCCGTCACGATGGAATCGAACTGGATCATCGATCACCGATGCGTACGTACGCATTCGTAATATGCAAATACCCGTTAGCAGAGCTTTTCTGGTCAATTACTCGACGAGAATGCGAGAATACAGAGTGACGAACAATCAAGGAATGGACTTCCTTCGTGGATGGTCGCAGGGTCTTCGTTGACAACGTGTTGGGTCGTTTTTCGAAAGTTCGTAACGTAAGAATTTGATAATCAACGCGATAAGGATCGTTTTAAATTTATTGCATAACCTGTTTACTAAAATTTTAAAACGTACTGAGAATTTAGAAACGAAATTGTATTTATACTTTTGTATCTTATTATTATACGTATATTATACTTGTGCGAGTATGATGTATATTAATTTGAAGTACTGTTAGCGCCTAACTAACAATTTCCGATGTCAACAATGATGTTTTCTATTTACGTGAACTTTAAATCAAAAAAGTTCTTCAAAATAATGGAATATTTCGTTTAAAATTCTTTAGTTTTAATTAATATTGCACAAAATGACACGAAATTGTTTAAAAACTTCGTCGTCTGCATTTTTGTTTTTAAAATACCGGATACAATTTATTGAATATTAATCTAATATTAGTCTATGAATATCGAGTATATTAATTATATTAATTAAAGATTTTTACTTATAGTTGACTGCAGATCACTGTGCATAACTTTTTAAAAAGATTCTTGTCCTTTATGAATCATGTAATGATTCCAAACTTTTCAAATAAATAGTGTACATAACATAAAACAACAAGCTTTTTCCGTCGATTACAACAGATATTTAATAGTAATTGTAGCGTAGGTATTTAACAATCGATAGTCATAATTTGAATTTGGGATATGAGAATCAATGTGAGATCGCAGAATTAATTATGGTTGTTCTTTGCTTAACCGTAACTCTTTGCTAACACTGTATGAAATCGCAATAACACAGTTGTAATTTTAATTGATAAGTTTGATAGTCGATGAATAGAACAGATAAGAAAAGAAAAAATTAAGAAATTTTCTAAACAAAAATAATAAATCTATGAGAAGAAAATGGTGAAATGAATAAATTATATTCAAAATTCTAATTCTAATTTTATAATATTATATAATAATATATTAATATAATATTATAACACAATTGAATTGACAATTATAATAATTGCTGCCTTTTGATATTTACAAAATAAAAAAAAAAAGTTTCATAATAATTAATTATTTAAATACATTTGTATTTAACATAGATCTGAAATAGAAGAAGAAACTATTAAAATTGCGAAAATTTGATATAAAATTTTTTTATTTGACTTTAATAAGTCATGGATTATTAAATCTTAGTAAGTTTAATAACTTTTGCATTCTAATATCTAAAATTTCTGTCCAAAGGATCTATAGATCAATATTAAATATTAAATAAATATGAAATCATAATGTTTGTAGAATGAAGATTTTAGAATATATAAATGGACAACATACAACTCTAATTTTGGAAAAATTGAAACGTTCATTCAACTAAATTTACAGAGCCATAATAAATAAAATGAAAATAAAATAATTGTTAGTAAAAAGAAAATTAAAAACTAAATTCACTTAACTAAATTTCAATAGAGCTAAATAAATAAAATGGATATAATAAAATAAAATGTTTGTGTTTGTCGATAAAGAGAAAAGTAAGCCAACTACTTTAAATATCATGAGATTTAATTAGGAATAATTACTCCAAGTAAGCAATATGAGATTAGAAATATGGGTCGAAGAAAGAGTAGAACTTGAAACTAGAAAGATGACGGAAATGTAATAGAATGTAATCGAGGTTAACGTGTAAAATATCGAACAGCGTCGATGATAAGTTCAAACGCCGATAATAACGAAGCGAAATACCAGGTACTATGACCAGGTAACACAAATCTTTATTTGGAATGTGGAGAGATGTAACGGGACTATCGATTGTAAGATGTTGAAGAACACAAAACGATAACGTATTTTCCTTGTTTACTGATCGCACGAGCACATATTCCTTCGATATACAACCAACAGGTTCATCGAACACTAAATTAAAGTGGAACTTTAATAAAAATATATCACAGTAATATAAGATGAAACAAAAATTGTAGACCAAGTATTTCCATGAGATGAAAATTATGAATATTCAATAAACTCAGGAAGAAGAAAATTTTAAGATACAACAATTCTCAAGATGAGGTATTTAACAATATCTTAATATGTTGAGATATTGCAATAGATCATTAATTAATTAAAGAAAGAATTTATTTCTTTTTAATAAAATTATTTCCAGTTCGAAAATATTTATTAAAATAATGGCAAGTATCAAATAATTCTAAACCAAAAAAAAAATATTAAGGTGAAGAAGACTATAATTAAAGATGCAGGAATAATATGATTATACTTGAAGAAACAACAATTTTCAAAATTCATTTGAAGCCTTCACTATTTTATTACATTGATGTAATAGGCTATGAATTAATTAAATACAAAATGTATTTATTTTTAGACAAAATTAAATAAATTTCAAAAATTACTCCTAAATATTTTGCTTCTTTACAAAAATATATTTTTATACTATTCATTGAGCATTGTATCATTTTAACTAATAGTTAAGTATTTAAGTGTAAATAAAATTGTACAATTATTAATTGTTTAAAAGTCTGGATATTAGCATTAGATGTAGAGAAAAAGTTTATTATTAATAAATAGTTAAGTATTTAAATGTCAGTATAATTTTACATTAATTGTAAAGTTATATTTTTATTGTTGCCAAAAGTTAATAATTGTTCATACAGAGAACCAATCATTAATAATTAATGAATACGAAATTAAAGCAATTTACAGTTAGTAATTAACCGTGATTAATATTTAATTAATAATTGATATGCATTTAATTTACAATTGCAAATGTCTACTAATATTTCATTCTATTAATACAATATGTAAAACATTATTGTGGATACTAAATTAATATTACAAATGTAAATATTTATTTGTAATTGTAATATTTATTCAATCAATAACTGTAATATTATACTGACACTTGAATGCTCGACTTTCCTTCACTATCGAAGACACATATTAACTCTAAACTGTAGTGAATTAACAAGTGCAGTGAAGAGCCACGTAAATTCAAATAAAAGCCTAGAAACTCACAAAGCAGAGAAATGCATGTCAAGAAGGATCCCCGTGACAGTGCACATTGACCCAGATCACGTTTCTACCCTCCCTCAAAATCCAAGAGGCGCGCAGGAAGTGTCCTCCGTGGATACGTGGCCTTCGCGAAGACGGTTCACCAAGTACTAAGCCTCGTGGAGGCCGATCGACCGGTCTTATCCCCGAACAAGGATGCAGGAGACTATTTTTTTTTCCTTTTTTTTTTTTTTTTTTACCGGATCGCTCGGTCTTACACCTTTTTCTCGGATTTTTACTGTTATTCCGGCTGCCTCCCTCCCCTCCCCTCCCCCTCCTTCCCCAAAGAGGAGGACATCACCTCTTTGATTTCGACCAAGTGTTTCGTGATCCGCTGCCGACAGATCACGAATCCTCTTTCCATGGTACACGTACACATATTTAACACGAATGACAGCCGTTCGAATAGAAGTGGAAAGAACGAAGCGTCGCATCTGACGCGAATCAACAGCCTCGAGGAGGCATCGTGCTCGATTCCAGATAGGACGATCATTTGGAGAGGTGATCAATTACTAGGTGGTAATTCGTGGCTCGCAATATTGTGGATAATCTTTAATCTTTGCTCGCGGTGATTGACTCTTTCGTAAGGTATAATTTATCGAATTTTAATGAAGAATTATTGGGGAATTAATAAATATCATATTAATGGGGTATTTTAATGAAGATTTATCATGACCAAAGTGAGATCGACGATTGATGAACATCCGTTATAAATGTTATAACGTTCAATTTTAATTTTATTCATTTATATAGGATCGGTAGACGAAATCGATCGATTGATAAATGATGTTATTGATTTTAATTTCACACACTATATCGATCGACAGATCGATAAATCAATGAATGGCGTCATTAATTTTTTCGAATGTTTAGGTTCAATTTTTAATTCTATTTATTTGTATAAGATCGATAGATGACAGGCGAAATGGACTATTGATGAATAGTGTTATTGATTTTATTTATTTTATGTTAATTTTAATTTTAATTTCAATTTTATTTATTTATACAGGATAAAAATTTGGTACGAATGTGTACGTAAAAATGATATTTAGGAAACATAAAAGTGAATGAAATAAAAGTAAGCAGACACAGAAAATCGATAAAGGTAAATTTAAACATGAGAAACAAAAACTATTGTTTCAAGTA